TGCTTTGGGGCATTTGTAACTCATTTATAGAAACTCTTTGTTTTTAACTATACGTAGGCCTAAACAATAGAATAATCCCTTACTAAGAACAATGATTTCATTCATTCTCCACAATTAAGAAACACCAAATCCTACAATTTCATTGGTCGAGAGCACTTTGTTATATTCTAACCCGGTGTAGGTCTTTAAGTTGAGATTCAATTTACTAAAAGTTCATCGGGCATTACTAATTAGATACGCACTCAGGATAGGGAAAAACACCAAGCAAAACACCATTTCTTACAATTTTTACAAAATTTAGATTCAAAGTGTTTTCGGTTGATTTAATATCTCCGGTCAATAATCAAACGGCATTTGAGTGAAATGTTTGCTGCAATAGGAAGTTATTTACCAAAAAAATCCATATCTCATTTACTTATAGTGGCCGTTATTGATTGTCAATTCATGACGTTTTGTTTTAGGCATTCGTCTACCGTGGAGAAAACGAGGGAAGGAGGGCTATAGCTTACTTTACGACTTCAATCATGGTTAAACTTTATTCTATTACGGTATACGATTTATCTCTAGCGATCGATCTCTCTTATTTTAAAAAATGCCACTCTATAAGATTCTAGAGTTACAATCATTTGCTTCACGTTGATCCACTTTGCATTTGGTCGTGAATATGCATGAAATATTTGCCACTGGACATTAAGGGAGACATTAATTAGTCAGCTTCATTTAGTGATGTATAATCATTTGTCTTCAGTTGATAATTGTCTCAAACAGGTTTCAAATTTTTATATATTTCATTCTTAATTACGTTTGATTTTTTTAGCGTAAATTTTAGCATTTCTTCCATCATTTTTCTCTTTGTATTTAATCTTTTTTTGTAACATTAAATAATGTTGGACAGTCCACATCATGGGTTAGATTGTATCCTTACTGCAAAACTTAGAGGATAGGGGATTAGAAAAGAAAAAAATCTTCATTGAGTGGCAATACTGAAGCGTACAATGACGGTAGTCTCGTCTAGGTGACAACATTTGCTGTTTCAAGTTTATTTATTTCTCAGACTGGTTTAATAGTTGTCATAAAAACAATAATGGATAAACATTTTAACAAAAATTTAAATAAGGATTCAACTTATTTTGCCATTTATTTTTTTAAATATTGTCTTGCTGATCGGTTTTGTTATTTAATTTCTTTTCATCTACAATTGTCCTAGGAAGATTTCCATTCGACTTATTTGAAGATTTAGTTGACCTTTGTTTTTGTTTACAGATTTCAATCATTTAACTCGTGCGTAGATCGTCTTTTCCTCTCATAGAGTTATTCAAAGGTTTTTTAACGTATAGCTAGTGTGAAATTCTCGCTACACCAGGCATCGGATATATTTTCTATTCCGATCGAACAAAGCTGCGTATTTATATATAATTATATACCCGATAAGCCAAACGAAAACACCCCTTTAGCCAGGCTATACTGTGGAACGGGAGAGGTCCAGAGATGTCAATTTTTCTATACCCAAGTCAATTATATGGTTTTGAATAAAAGGAGATAAAGGTATACATTAATGCGACAGCAACCCAACGACACAGAGAAATCAAAACATTTAGAGTCAACATACAGTCGTTTTTTTTATAGAAAGATGCATGTACAGAATGATAAGCTCAAAACCGCCCCATGACTAAATAATAGTTAAACAGAGATTCAAAAATATATAATTTTACCTCTAATTTTGTAAAACTATCATTTGGTGTTATTTTAATGCTAAAAAAATTATAAATAAATAATTAAATGATGTACTGCCATTTAATCGGTCCGTTTCCATTACAATTTGGTAGCTGTTTATTGTATACATGTATATCAGTCTGAGTACTGTTTAACTATCATTTAAGTTGAATATATCGTCCAGGGGAACTAGGTTTCTGCAAGTGTTTTTTGTGTACTTTTGTGTATGTTTTAGACGGTTTGTAAGTCAGTAAAAGTTCAATGATTAAGTTAATATTAACATTAAAAGACCTCCTCACAAAAAGACTGTTCAAATCCCCTCGCCCTTCGGGCTCTTGGATCTGAACATCCCTTTTTGTTCGGAGGTCTTTCAATATCAATATTAACTTATCATTGAACTTTTACTATTACATATTGTGTTTTTAAGATATGTGTGCATGCGTATAATACAATTGTCGTCTTTTAAATAATCTTGCCAGCAATCACAGTCCCTAGAGTGGATAGTGGATTTTTTCGTACCTCCCAATCTATTTCTTCGTAGTGTATGCATAAAATAACAAGAAGGGGTAAAATTACAATTAAAAAAAATGTGTCTTGCATAATAATTTAGTGTTAAAATATTTTAAGGATGGTACAGTTGCAAAGTGTAATCAAAGAGGTGATACCTCCTAGGGGAGGGGAGAATGTAGGAAAGAATAACTTGAAAAACAAGGTAAGCAGACCATATCAACCCTACCAAATCTATGCCATTGTTACTTTCGACATTTTGTTCTTCAAAAAAAGATATACTTACACTTACACAGACTAAACTAAGTATAAAAACTAAGTATAAAAACCATCGAATGTTGTTGATTCGAACTAATTTTTTTTATAATTATATGCATTGCATCGCAACATCTTCAACTTTAAATATACAACTTAACGTCAATCGTTTGCTTTGTTCAGATAAAGAAATTCAAAAATTATACCCCAACTAAATTGATAAGACGCTAGTAAAAATTGCCACCCATTTAATAAATTTCGAATGTACTTAGAGAATGTTGAGTCGGCCTTCAGACAACTTCGCCACTCTTTAAATAAGAGAAATATGATTATCAACGACGATGGTAGCGTCTGGAAACTGACTCAGAATGTGTTATAATGGTGGTATCTTTTTACATCGTTTGAGCTGTTTATTTTATTGTTAAAGTTAATTGGATTTTTTTCAAGGATTAAGTATAAGTCGTGCCAAATTGTTAATGTTCTTTCAAATTTAAGCAGCATGTAAAACATTAAAACATGAGAATCTAAAAAACTATACGTAACATAAGAAATTGTTTTTTTTATGCCAAACGGCACATTTGTGTCTCTGTCTTTGTTTCATAAAATAATGCAGACGCTATTCTACTAACATGCAATGGGATGTGTTTTAGTTGAATTTAGTCTCTGATGTATGATTTTTTATTATTAATTGTTTTTGGCTTTAAACTAGCTTTCGGTAACTGCGAGTACTCTCAAATCGTACTTTCGTGTTAATTTGACCTGTTGAAACAATTTGTAATTCTTTTTGTTATTTAATGTTTACTTATTTAGTGTTATGTCTCGTCTCTCTATTTTAGATATAGACCAGCTTTGATAAGTGTTTGGTATGACTATAAAATTTCACTTCTGTTCTCGTACTATGAAAAACAAAATTATTTATTTTGTAAAACATATTTCTGTACTCCATTTCTGTATACCCAACAACAAAATTATTTTAATTTACCTGTGTACATTATTTTATTTGGCGGCATTTTGTCCAAGATTAAGGTTGCTCTCTGATATTGTTTTAACATCTCACCCTTTTTTTTATTGATTTTGTATTTACATTGTGTCATAGATCAAATGTATTCGTTCAGTGTATGCTCACTTGTTTGTGTTAATATGTCTTTTGATTGAGTTAAGCCATTTCAATTGATATTTTATAGTTTCTTTCTATGTTGTGATGTTACACTATTGTTTCAGGTAAAGGTGAAGGTTGATACATTGTACCTACTAAAACGTTTAAACCTGCTGCATTTGTTTGTACCTGTCCTAAGTCAGGACCCTGATGTTCTGTGGTTGTCGTTTTTTGATGTGGTTCATAAGTGTTTCTCGTTTCTTGTTTTTTAATATAGATTAGGCCGTTGGTTTTCCTGTTTGAATGATTTTACACTAGTCATTTTTGAGGCCATTTATAGCTTGCTGTTCATTGTGAGCCAAGGCTCCGTGTTGAAGACCGTACTTTTGCCTATAATAGTTTACTTTTACAAATTGTGACTTGGATGGAGAGTTGTCTCATAGGCACTCATACCACGTCTTCTTATATCTATATGCAAGCAATTCTACTTGAATCGATTCAACGATTTTAAAAACAACCAGTCGAATAGGCTTTCGGAGGATTTGAAAAATCTCCTTCCCCAAAAAAATGAGAACGGCTGCAGCTATTAAAATTGAATTATATACTCCCTGAACATGCAATTGTTCATATTTTGAGTAAGAGCTGATGAAGTTGTCTATAATTTTTATATAATTTGTCCCAAAAACTAGACACTACACTTCAACAATTTTATTGAGAAAAACGCAGGTTGAATACTTTTCATTTGTTTCTATTGTTCTAAAGAAATGCATTATACATTAATTGCGTTATAAGGCATAAGAACTCAGAAACATGAGTAACAATTTTTTTCTCCGACAAACACTCTATTTCTTTATCAATCTGGGATACCAGTAACCAAATTAAAAGTCCAATAACTACTACATACAAAAGCATCATTTTATGACAATGACTTATTTGTAACAGTTATTTAATACCATTGTAGGTACAAAGATCCTGATGGAATGCATGTCTCAATATATTCTGTTTGTTAGCTATTAACAGTTTATCAATGGAACATCATTTATTAATTTATCCACCTTGTTATTAGATCGATGGTTTATAACCGTTTAAACCAAATTTTGTAAGCCTCTCATGTATTCTGGAGTATTAATTGATCACCCAAAGCCATGACTATCATTAATATTTTGTCAAGACAGAAAAAATCACATTCATTATATAATTATACAGTTTATGAAAGATCCTTATTTCAAGTGTTTTAAATGACCTAAACTTTTCTTGAAGATAGCATGTGCATTTGTAGTCAAATATTACAACAAGACAAGGAATTCATTATTATTTTTATGACAATAAAATAATAATTAGAAAACAGCATTATAGAACAATAATAAGAGAGGAAACACCAATTCCTACGGTATCATTGTTTTAGTATCGTACACAATAATTATCATAATTACCTGTTTAATTGTATGCAGTCAGGATTCGAATCTGAAAATGTTAATTGGTATAAGCGTTATTTGATAATTGATATGTGTTATAAAAAAGATGAACAAGTAATACAATTAACTGCCTACAAACCTGGTTTTTATATTAATATGTTCAATAAATTATCATTAGAAACTTTGTTTCATTTTTTGAGCCCTTTTGTACCTCAGTCTTAAGTTTTCTATGTGTTACATCTGTTGTAGACTGTTGTTAGTCTTTTTTGTTATTTGGTACAAAAGTTATGAAGGAAGCGGGAAGAACGACAGCCAGTAAGACAGACAGAAACACATGTAGCTATTTGTCATTTCAAATCAAAAGTCTCAACTAAAACAAATCATCGTTATCTAGTATCCCCCACCTCCTTTCCAGGTTTGTTTAACTTATTGTACACAACCAGCTACAAATCAGGAGATGTTCTATGTATTAAATCTGTAAGCGAATACATAACCGTTCCAACAATAAAAGAATTAATGAACCATTAGAAGAGAAGCTAGCATAAATGACGGCATGATCTTCCATTCTTCAAGCTTATATTGACGTGATGGCATATCTTTTGTGTTTACTTTAAGATATGTTTATTTTCGTTATTGATTTCAGGCAGTAATATTGTATTACAAAGTGCGTCGATCTAGTTTTGAAACTATGACTTTGAACTTCGACCTAGTGACGTAGTTATAATTCAGATCTTCCTCTATTTCAATTTGCCCATATACATATTTGTTTGGTATTGATCTTTGATGTTGTGACCTCAAAATCAATGGAGACGATCGCCTCGGATATCTCGTGGAAGCGTGTTCGCCTTGAGTGCGGGAGGTCGGATGAAACCAGAGACTTTTAAATTGTTATTTGCTGCTTCTCCGCTAAACATGCGGTATTAAGGAGCAAGAGCAAAGACTGGTCGGCTCGGAGTCAGAATAATGTGTCAGGGTAAGGTGACACGTCTTCTTGCGGACTGTTACTTTGTGAGGTAAAACGTTCAAAATCCGATTCAGCGTGTCGGTCTAGTACAAAGCAGGGTTGAAATATTTACTACATTAACATGCTCTCGTCCTGAATAAGCACATTAATTTGCCACTGGACGTTAAGCATCATCATCATCATCATCATCATCATCATCATCATCATCATCATCATCATCATCATCATCATCATCATCATCATCATCATCATCATCATCATCATCATCATCATCATCATCATCATCATTGTCAATAGGGAGCCTCATCTTATTATATACTACCATATATCCAAGTGAAGTTTCAATTTACAGAAATCATTTCGTTAATAATTTGATTCATAAATATGACTTTGACCCAGTGACCTCCAGATCAATTGAAACCTTCCTTTTATTATGTAGTATTATATCAAAGTACTATTTGCTGTAAAATTGGCAGGCTACTTTTACTTATTTTGACCTTTACATTGGATGTAGTAACCTAACCCTAAATAGAGACCTTCCTCTTATATATGCGACCATACAAGTATGATTGTGTCCAATATGAAGTATATCCGGAAACGAAAACGACGGACGGACTTACGGACTGATGGACGTAGTGTTGAGTATAGTTAAAACATATATAGAAACAGCAAACTATGTGTTTGGCCAAAACACAAAACATCAAATGTTCAGCTACATCCCTAATTTTGATTTTTCTTAATATAAAAGTGTCAGATCCACCGTGTCGCTGTGTTTTGTTTTGTTTCTTTTTTTGTGTGAAGATTATGATAACATCTTTTTTAAATGCCTTTTATAATCATCTAAGGAATAGTCTTGACTGGTTACCGGATTGGATCTAGAAATGATAACGTCCGGTAATAACAAGCTAACAAATAAGCAAAACGAAGAAATTTTAAGAAATATTTAAAAAAGACAAAATGGTTTCCTGTTCAATCATGTGTATAATTTGAATGTAGTAATCAGCAATTTGTATCCATCTGATGTTAAGCCTTTTTCAACTTAAGCCTTTTTCAACTGATTTTTATTGTGTGTTCTTAAGTTGTACTGTTACACCACTGTCCCAGGTTAGGGGGGGGGGGGGGGGGGGGGGGGGGTGGGCGCCCGCTAACATGTTTAAATTCTGGTATAAATGTTTAAATTCTGGTATGTGGCTGTCCCAAATCAAGAACCGGTGAATCAGTGGTTGTCGTGTGTTGCTGTGTTACATCTTTGTTTTTCGTTCCTTATTTTGTACTTAAATTAGGCCGTTAGTTTCTCATTTGAATTGTTTTCAATTTGTCATTTCGGGGCCCTTTTTACTAACTATGCGGTAAGGGTTTTGCTCGTTGTTGAAGGCCGTCTAGTGACTTATAGTTGTTAGTTTCTGTGTCATTTTGGTATCTTGTGAAGAGTTGTCTTATTGCCAATCATACCAAACTTCTTTTTTATTTATACAGACACACGCGCACATATATGTAAATCTGTTCTCTTCCTGTTTTTCGCTACTTTCCTTTCTCTGTTTGTTTTGTTTATATGTCTCTCAAACACCAGGTGTTTGATTTGAATTATGTAATAATTGATGTAAATATTTGCATGCTATGACATTTTATAATTAATAGTGTATCTTAGGAGCAGACTAACTGTCTAATCCGTTTTGTAACATTTTAAAAATAAAATATGTTCCAACAAACATAGATATTTACTTAACGATATTAACACTTAAACACTATTAGGTGCTGCTGAATAGTAACATAGCGTATACTCTATTTGTTGTACTAATATTATTTTTATCCATTTCTATGCAACTATTTAAAATGTTGTTTTGTTATTATTTATCACGCTAGAATGTAAGAATTAATCAGAAAACTGGAACACTTTGTACTACCTTTTGTATTTTTAATGTGCTCACTTGGAATTCATTAAGTATTGACGTCTTTTAAATGTTTTGTCTGTTTTGAACCGTCTCGTCTTATGCAATGTATAAAATAAGAACAAACTTATAGAACAGTGATTAATTGTCACTTATCAAACACACTTTTAAATATTAATGACGTATATTTTAATAAAAAGCACTTTCTTCAAGAAATTCCAGTGTAAAACAAAATCATGATAACTAATACAGTTGCACAAAATAACGCCATCTGCAGAAGAAAAGATTACTTTACTGTGTTAAGTTAAAATATTGAATGTAGTCAATATTAAGCTGAAGAAATTATTGAAATATTACCTACCCATTCTTGTTGTTTGGAGTTCACAATAGTTATGTTGATCATTACTTGTCTTTTGTCGACTATAAAACCATATAACCGAATTCAAACATTGAATAAGTCATCATTGTTAAATTAGTATGCAATATTTCAGTACAACAGTGTTCAATATTTGTTTGAAAAGCATTATTAATATACTAGATAAAGCGAAATACACGTAAAAACAGAAAACTCTTTCTCATAGCAATCAGAGAAAGTAAGACATAAAACCATTCATTGACCTTATCTATATATTGCAGTTATATATTATTATCAGATGATTACAGGACATTTTTCATATCAGATGTATTATCAGCCCAAGGTTCAATATCAGTCTAAGAGCAGAAGGCATGAAAAATGACATGTTATGATCTTTTTATAATACGCTTCAACAATATGAAGAAAATAACAGTTTAATATATTGATCCTTTTAAGTGGTTCGTTCTCAAGTAGAAGTTCAAAAAGTGAAAAGTTTACGGACGACGGACGCCAAATGTAATACATTCGATATGAAATCATTCTATAATATGACTAAACAGAGGAAAAAAACAACAGAATAATATATTATTTATATTAACGATAAAAATATCGAGGGCTGATGAAGATTCAAAACAATGGAAGAGGTTAAAAAGCTTGAATACAGACAACATCCGTCTATATAAATCTATAAATGAGCTATTATGAACCAAAGGGGATTGGAAGTATACGTAAACGAAATAATAACCCAACGAAAAGGCTAACAAAAAAAAAAAAACAAAAAAACAAAAACAAAAAAAAACCACAAAAGCGAAACATTCGATATTCTAAAAAAAGCAATTGTTCACATCATAGTTGATAGTTCATACTTTGAATCGGTCTCAGTTCAAAAGAAATTTAAACGAGATTTTTAAACTTTTCAAAAATCGCTCTCGGAGCAATGACAAACTATGACTAAACTGGAATACCGATATAAACAAAAATAATAATTCTAAAGCAAATGTTACAACGAATACTTACAATTACCGATTTAGATTTAGGATTATAAAACCTGGTGATGAGCAATAATGCTGCCTATACTCTTACATCGTCGACTGTATATGCATTTTGAGTAAATTATATACATCGATATCTTAACTGTGTATGATTACATCATCTAGTACACTCATCAGAGAACATGATTGATATATATGTATCTATTTAACAAAATGAAAAAAAACAACCTTTAAGATACTATTTTATACATACCATGTACCAGGATCCATTGAGTGATACAACTTGTTTTTTTCTGAAATAAGAAAGAATATTTTCGACCATTGTCCCAATATGACCCCTATTTCTTGTTTAATATTCAGTTTAGGATCTGATTGCTATTATTACGACGAAACAGAGCTTTTTTCTTTTATGACGTCAAAATTATCATAAATCTTGATTTTACTTTTTCTCACTTATATGCATACACTTTAATTAATTTTCATCTTAGAATAATTGACTAATAATTTTTGACCAAAAAGGCCCTTGCCGCACCTACAGTATTCATGTTCATCTATTAATTAGAGTTATGAATTTCTGGATGGTGTAAATAGTATATCTGATAAATCTTACGCAACCATTCATTAACAATTGAGAACATATTAAAGTGAATATATATTTTTTTCGAAAAAAAAACCCTGCATACGGAAACCATTTAAGTTGAAATCGTGTAATACGAGTTTCTTGTAATTATATTGTTAGGAAATAATTGAACCAATGCATGCATATATATAGACTTAACTAAGTGCTCGATGCACTTTTTTATCATGTATTACGAATCTAGCTAGAGCGTTTTATCGACAACTATTATTTTAATCAGTACTTGTTGATCGCATGCAAGCTAGTTAAATTTCGAGTGTATTACCGGATTGTAACATTGGTATACAATCAACACAGAATCATAGATAACGTAAAAATAAGTGAATTGATAAATCTATTTTTTATATTTCCATGTGTTCCTATTTGTTTATTAAACTTTACATAACATTTGGAAAATAATTTGGTGTATTTAATTTTGTTTTTTTTAGGAATCAGTTATTACTATTTACCTGCCAGTGCACGTTTGCCTCGCCCTACGGGAGGTCTCGTAAATAAGGTCACTACATACAGAAAGGTTTCGGCGAATTAGAGTACGTTATAATTCAATAGCAGTACATTACTGAAGATTGTGGTAAGATAAAGGTTTTTCTTTTACAAGAAAGTTCACGTACAGTTGTTTCATAGTAAAACTTTCAAGCATATACAACAAAGGACTTTAAAAGTTACACAAATTAAATAGTTTCATGGCATCTGGGAAAATATGAAAAATAATTCCTGATAGTTTTTGGGTAATGCGGTCCCACTTTTTCAGACTATTTAAAAACAAATTGTCTAAAGTGCTAAAAACAATAGTAAGAATAATTGACTATGTTTTGGTGAGTTTTCTGTACCTTCTTTATTATTCAACCTCCTCTTCAAAATCAAAACTACAAGACCTGCTACTAATAATATGAACACAGATGATCCAATGCCTGCACCAACACTCATGGCCAGAGAATTATTCGGTTGACTGTTATATAAACCTGAAAGATTGATTTTTTTCGTATTAACTCCTGGTGTAAAAGATTTCACTCTCTCCATAATGCAAGCAAAATATTGGTTTGCAATCATAATATATATGATATAATTCTCATTTCAATAGACTTCAAATACAATTATGATACATACTACCATACTGAAATTAGTCATGCCGTTTTTAACTGATTGTTACAGTTTGTTCTTATGTTGATCCATTACACCACTGTTAATGAAAGGTCTCGACATCAAAAAGTGACGGAAAAAATCAGAACAAAATCAAAAGGTCTTTCCACAAGGAAGTGGAAAGCTCTACTAAAACATGAGATGTACAAGTACATTTTATTAGAAAGATTCCTTGAAAGTGTGATTGAAATCATTGTAGAAGTTGAAGTCATGCATGTGTATTCTCCAAAAATTGAATTCGTCTCCGGAATAATACTATGTAGCTGTTGAATCAGAACTGATAATAAACAACATTAAAATATCATAATTAGGTAAATCATTTGATACGTTTACGTACTTGATCTGGTGGTACAGTTATCATTATCTGTTGATCTGACAATGCCGTGTTTATTAGCAGCTTCTACATATATGATGTATGATGTGTCTGGAACCAAAGACTTAACTATATACTGCTTAGTCTGTTCCTGTCTGGAATCCATGATCTCAGATGAATATTCTATTTGTTGGGTCATTATATTCAACCATACCACTCTAAAAGATTGTTCATTCCCTCCATTCAATCCGGGTCGCCATGATACAATCATTGATGTTATTTCACAGGCTACTAAAACATCTGTTGGTTGATTTGGTGGACCTTGCAATTAAATTATTCGATTGATGTATATGATTGTTTAGAGGACAAATAATTTTCCTCTAGTGAATGTTTTGAAAAAAATCAATGTTTTACAACTTAACATAACTACTTGAAAAGTTTAACATTATTTTGGCATTTAGAAAATATGGCACTGATGACGGAGTTAAGTTGGTGACCTTTAAGAATAAATGTATTTAAAAAATTAATAAGTTTACACGGATCATATCCAGAATCATGGCCTCTATACATAACATCATCGTAAAAATAGGATGTGAAAGTCCGTTTGAAATAGTCCGTTTAAAAGACGGTAAAATCAAAACCTCCAAACCACATCTTTGCTATAATGGAATAGTTTAATTGAATAACTTAATAATGAACCAGCTTTTCATTCTATAAACTTCCAGCAAACCGTAGTCATTAGATGTTCGTCATTCAGTTGAATTATATTTTTATCGGTCCTTTGCTTTTGTCCAATTGGCATTTCATTTTTGCCAAAAATATCTGTCAGTTGCGCCAAAAAATCTGTCATTTGCACCACAAAGTTCATATTTCATTTGCGCCAAAATAAAACTTTTCATTTGCGCCAATTGTACATGTAAATAGTATAACATAATAAATTTTATTCAAAATAGACTTTTAATAATAACATCAAAATACAGAATTTGTTTGCATAAAAACATTCATCCAAAAGCTGGCCCCTTAACAAAAATGTGTACTAGTTCAGTGATAATGGACGTCATACTAAACTCAAAAACATATAAATGATTGATTTTATGCTATTTTTTTTTTGTTCGGTTCAGAATGTGTGGTTTTGAAAATTTGAATATCATTAAGCAAATCTGCTTGAAATGTTGTGAAACAATTCTGACACTTCGTAGTTCTACTCTATCATTTATGATTTCCAAAGAAATATGGAGGTTTTCACTTCAACCAGTTGAAGTTCAATTCAAATTGTGGATGTTTCGTTTTGGAGTAAGTTACTTCTAAAAGAACAGAAATTCAGTAGAAAATTATGAAGATTAATGCAATGTTTAACAAAATAACAATTAAGTGAATTTAGGATTGGTTAGTCTCATATAATCTATATATAATGATTTAGACAGGAGGTTTATTTTTTCAAACCAATTTTCTGTGTATGACATTTGGTCTCTTGTGGAGAGATATCTCATTGGCAATGATACCACATCTTCTTATCTTTATATGACGTTAAACAAATTTTTCGTTGCCTTTTTATACAATAATGATACAGCAACTCTCATAACACATCCCGAGGATAATTTCATTCATTTAGAAAACAAATAATCTTGACATGTAAAACTTTCTAATTTGCCAGCCATAGTCTTCACGTTATCAAGAATTGGGAATACAAATATAAGAACTGCAAATGAACGACCACCTATAGAGACTGGTAGATGATACGATATATTAAAGTAGAGAAAATGTGTAACTTATGCAAAAAAAGCAAGATATTTGTGAAGAATATTCTGTAATATTTATTTGTGTTAAATGCAGATATAGTATAATTTAAAAACAAAATGGAAGGTAATTTTATTTTTTTGAAGACATTCATGATTGCCATTATCTATTAAAAAACTAGCGTTTCTTCTTTAGATAACATCTTCAAGTCATTTGTTAGTAATCACATGCTAATTTGGTTATGTTCATTGTATTTGAGTTATTCACAACCTCTTGTTACACATAGTATATTTGTCTAACTGTCCAAAGAAATCTGGAAATTCGAGAATCTTGAAATTATAATTAAACTACGAAACTATAAGTTGAATTTTTATCTGTCCGAACAATGGTATAAATAGCATCTTGAGAGTATGTTTGGGCTCGTTTATTAGAGATACATCTGTTAAATTTCATTTGAACATAAATATAATAACTTTTAGGAATAATATAGTGGTTGATGAATTAGATTTGACGATTAATAATAATATATTTAGTGTCAATTTTATTTTCTTACTAAGTTTGCCATTGTTACGCGTCATTTTTCACATTACCTTTAATTTTTCATTCCTTGGTTAATAAAATGTCGTACCGGAAATTATGCCACATGTATTTATTTGTATATTTCTTATTTCTCGAATTAATGTTTACATTTGTTTTTTAGAAATGCGATATATTTATCTTTAAACATTCCCCTTTATACAATTCAGTCCCTTCCCACGATCATCTCTCCCACTTTCGAAGGCTTCAACACTTTTCCCCATAAAACAAAATGCCAAAGAAATATAATTTTGATTAGCGCACTCTGGATGAGAAAGCAAATCATCCAGGAGCATCATGTTATCGAGATGGATAAATCCGGAACTAAATCCGAATGATAAAATAACGATTTTTAAATGCAGGCACTAATGTGTTCCTTGTAGAACAGCGGAATATATTAACTTAATTGTTCGGGTTACATCAGAATTAAGAAAGAGAACTAATATGAAAAATCAAATTGTATACATCAACGTCATCGCTGAGGCATGTATTTATATGGCATACATAGCTGTGTACAAAGGCACACCTGTTCCAATTTCTGCGGAGAACGAAACAGGCAATTAGGAAACAGTTCTTCACATATTTTGATAATGAAAAGCAATACTAATTTATTTAACATACCTTGGGGATTAACCTTAATTGTTAATGTTGTCTTGCCAACCTCATTCACAATAACGACTGTATACAACCCAAAATTATGTTCAGTAAAATTAAGCCTGATAAAGCAAATATGATGATCTGAAATCTTGTATGTACTGCAGTTAAAATCTGAATACACTGTTTTTTCCGGTGAACTCTCATTAGGCTTAAATATCCATGAAGTAATGCCCATAGGATAAGCCAAAATGTGTTCTGATATTGTAAGGTTTTGCCCGATTTCTAGTCCTATAACGTTTGTGGATCCATCGTGTTCCTTGTATCGCCTTGGGGAACCTGTAGTATACATAGTGATAATATTAATGGCATTTTATGTTTTTTATTTGCTTATAAAACTAATTTAACCGAATGGAGTGAAGGCTTTATAAACTGATAACGCCATTACTAAAACCAAAATATGAAGAAAATACAAACAACTGTACACAAATTTAAACAACTGAGCAACACGATCCCCACCAAAAGCCGGATGTGATCTTAGGTGCTTCGGGGGTGGGTGGGGTGGTAAGAGCAGATCCTGCTCCACTTGTTGTGCCCCACCAAAATCCGGTTGTTATCTTAGGTGCTTCGGGAGGGTAAGCAGATCCTGTACCACTTGTGGCACCCGTGTTGTTGCTAATTTAAGTACAAATGTGATATGAAAACATCGTATATATTGTTAATGTCATCAAGATTTCCGAGAAGTAAGTACGTTCAGTGACATATGTTGTTTAAAATTGGCGTCTGATTTGAACGGTACATTTGTTCATTTTGCGTAAAATGCATACTAAACAAAAACTATTGCTCAACCAAGAAACATAAATGACGGGAAAAAGGGTAAATATAAAAGTTGAAATTACTAATATATTTTAAAGGAAACAAAAAACATATCTTTTTAGTTTAATATAAAAAAGAAGATGTGGTGTGATTGCCAATGACACAACTCTTCACAAGAGACCAAATGACACAGAAATTAACAACTTTAGGTCACCGTACGGCCTTCAACAATGAGCAAAGCCCAAACCGTATAGTCAGCTATAAAAGGCACCGGAATGACAAATGTAAAACAATTCAAATGAGAAAACTAACGGCCTAATTAATGTACAAAAAAAAAAAAAAAAACGAAAAACAAATATGTAACACAGCAACAAACGACATCCACTGAATTACAGGTTCCTGACTTGGGACAGCCACATACATACAGAATATGTCGGGGTTAAACATGTAAGCGGGATCCCAACCTTCCCCTAACCTGGGACATTGGTGTAACAGTACAACATAAGAACGACTATAAAAATCAGTTGAAAAAAGGCTTAACTCATCAGATGGATACAAATAGAAATACATCTACAAAAAAACACAGAGTGGACGTGGCTGGGTACTTGTACATCCCAACAACAAAAAGACACTAAGTACAGATCTGAGAGTACACGCAGTTACTGACAGCTAGTTCAAAGCCACTAACAACTAATAAAAAAATATCATGCATCTAAGACTAAATTATCAATCAGTACACATCCAACATCCAATGGATTTAGTGTAAAGACGTCATAAACAGTCAGAGAAAAAAGTTTGGTATTTTTGTAATTTTACTATTTATATGGATGGGTCTTCTACTCTACGAAACCTCTTTCTAAATTATTAACATAAATTTCATCAGCAATCAAAGCCGGGCGTCAATGCTATTGTGGAAATACCTATTCTAGAGGCGACGGGAATCACGGGTGGATACTAAAATATTCCAAAGATCTGTTAATGTACATACAATCTATCAACATAATTGTTACGTTTAGAGGACGTATTTTTCAACAAACAATCGGCATTCCCATGGGAACCAACTGTCGACTCGTTCCTTTATTCAAATGCGGCCGACTTCTTACTATAACTTCTTAGGAAGAATGAAAACAAGCTAGCATTATCATTTACTTCACTTTCGGATAAATTGATGATGTCCTCTAACTAAATAATTCAAAGTTTAATGACTTTTTGACTTTTTTTGACGCATTTATCCCGAAATTGAAATAAAGGATATAACAGATACAGTTAAGTTTGCCTAATATCTTGACTTACATCTAGCAATTGACAATGAGGGTTAGTTGAAAACAAAACTTTACGACAACAGAGATGATTTCGGCTTCCTTATTGTGAACTTTCCATTTCTATCTAGCAGTTTCTAGCAGCGCTTGCATATGGAGTGTATATTTCCCAGTTGATACGATATTTTCTTATCATGATTTCCGTGATAAAGTATTGCTGCTCAAAAGGTAGATATTAAATCAAGAGTTCCAAGTGGTGAAGTTGAAATCATTGTTAGTTGACCTTGATGGAATATCTGTTTCACAGATGACAACGAATATGTTCCAATCGTCGTAACG